ACATACCGGCATCCTAAGCTGTAAAGCAAGAAGGATAAATTTAAGTTCTGCTAACAATGATCAGACAGATGTGGCAGAGACCTTGCCCTAAAAGAGAAGACAACATGCCTGTTTTGTCCACCCACAATCAATACTAAAAATGGAACAACAGCCAATGTGGTAAACAAGACATTTCTCCCATTTCTTCTTGCCAAGCATCTTCCCAGAAGGAGAATACAAGCTTAATTGTGGACTGCTATATCAGAAGATGTATGTCACCTTGGAAGTATCGCATTATTTTACACGTTGGCCAGAGCTAAGAGTTTGACAGAAAGAAAGTACTTGAATGGCTCTGCACTGACCCCCAGGATATCACCTGCACCATCAGTAGCTTCAGTTTCCACAGAAGACCCGGACCATAGGTTGGAAGGCAATGCTCACATGTACTAACAGAGCAGCCAGTCTTGGTGAGGGACAGAACAGCCACAAGCAGTATCTGGAAGGAGGAAATCTCCTTTGCTATTGGCTCAGGCAAAAAGAATGAAAAGACACAAGATTTATCCCTGAGTCAGTCAATGTGACCAACCTGGAAAAAGGCAAATGAAGAACACGCCACCAACAAACAGCACTTTGGGACACTTTCATGTAGTTAACGTGTTATCGAGCCAAAAAATGGATGAGAAGCAAGCAGTCGCCCCCCTCAAATTACATAGAAGTGCAGGCATCCAAGTAAGTTTTCCTGTGTAAAACAGAAGAATGGTCCAAATACAGTCTTCAGAAGCTGATCATAAGAATAACAGCCAGTCTCCTAACTCCACTTTCAAAAATGTATCCAGACTTTTTTCCTCCCATCTGTGTGACACCACACAAACATACTGCCCTCAATTCAAGACCAAAGATGAGCTGGGATCCAGAACATCTTTGGGTAGAAGGAAAGAAAGTTTAAGGACTCAGAACTGCAGCCTGTTTCCTCACTGAAGAGAGCTTTAAATATCTGCAAGGGTTTTCAAACTTCTAAGACTCCAGTTACACTGAGAATGAGACAAAGCTGTTTCCAAAATAGCTTTGTCATCAGAAAATCAGTAAAACTAAATCCAAAATAATCCTTGACTATTTCTCAGCATTGAAAACATTATGGGGCATGTTACCAACCCATAAAAACTATGAAACGGAACACAGAATTGGGGAAAACAAATCTGTGGCTTCAAGTTTATTTTTTTCTGATTTGTTTTAGAAGTGTTGTCCCCTCTCAAGATGAGTTATTTTTCAATTCTTCCCACCCTTTAATTCATCACTGTTCACCACATGCCCCCCCAAAATGGAAAAGAGGTGGGTAACAAATACACAAACCCGAAGACACAAATGAATGAAATCCAAAGGCCTCTCCCCCTCATTGTATCCAAAAGTGTCCAGAGGGACCAGAATGAGAGAGAAGATATTACCACCTCTGGAATACAAGTAGCACCAATTAACACATTTTCACAATAGAGGGATTTTTTTTTACCAGGGCTTTCTCAAATTACTCTTTCTGAACAATACCATTCAAATATTAACTTGTAGTGAAGAGAACATGCAAAACTACACAAACGAGTGTTTCCAACCAGAAGGTGAAAAGAATTCCCATCATACTGATGCCTTATTTGTTTTTTTTTTTTTTTTAAATTAGCCTAGAGCATTTGCCTTATTTTTTCATTCCATGATCTTCACGGATTTGCACCTACTGCTATTTCAAGTTTAGCGATACATTAGCAATAATCATGGCAAGACATAGTTTACCCTTTTTATATTGCTTTTAGGTCCAAATTAGTTGACAGACACTCCTCTGGGCAAGAACCTCTTTGTTTATTTGCTACCTGCTGCACTATAAAGTGATGTGGCTGCTGGTAAGCAGGCTTCCAGCTGAAAAGAACATGCTCGTGTCACCACATGTTCTAGTTTCCAGATTAAAATAATCCATAATAGGTGTCCTTAAAAGACCAAGTAAAGAAAGCAGAATTTCAGAGAACAAGAAAGGATGAACGTACAGGAATCAGGCATTCAACTACACCAGGAAAAAGACTTTCCAGAAGAGGTGCAAAACCAAGTGGCAGAGTACAGAGGAAGCAGATACCTAAGGCTGAAGAACTATCCCAATTAAACACAGATACTCATTTGTGGAGAAAGGAAACATGGTACGCTAAGAAATGCTGTTCTGAGCCCTTTATACTTAGTATTGCTGCAACAGAAGATAGCAGACACACATCAGCCCAATCTGCTGAGCACCACTCTTCCAGTACCCAGTACACTTTGGTACTGAATAAAGAAAAGCAAATATGTAACAACTTTGCTTACAGAGCTTCACTTTTTTAACACATACTGTAACTGATTATTTCGTCCCTGTCTCCCCAAGCACCTTAGGGCTTCAGTTTACATCAATAATGGCTTGAAACAATTCCTTTCCTTTAATTATTGCAGTAGGCAACAATAAAAAGAACCTGAATGGAGTAAACTTTGCTCTAACGTGGACATAAGAGACACAAACATTGTACAAAGAACATTACTCAAGGAAAGCAGAAGTCTCAGTTAAAAAAAAAAAACAAAACAAAATGCAGTTAGCATCAGTGATTTCACTCAATACTGTCAAAGCATCACTCGTGTTCAGGGACAACTTATTCCATCATACCCGTCTATCAAGATATTAGACTTTAAAAAAAAAAAAAATGGTCACAGTAGTATTATGCACAGATTTACTCCTTGCCATTGCACAGTCAGGAAGTTCTGACTTTTAAGATTACTTGAGAGTAAAGCTGTCTGTATTTGCAATTTGAAATGAGAAAGCACATCCTGCCTGTTTAAATTATTCTCAGACAGGTTGCCCAAAAAGATGATTTTAAAGATGCCCAAATGTGTATCAGCCTAAGGCCATATTGTACTTGCTTTCAGTTTCAAAGACCTCCTTTCATCTCTGAAGAATGGAATGTTGTTTACTGCTCAGGATGTTTTGCCATGTTATCATGAATGTATTACAAATGTTCTGCTTCTTGAACTAGAGAGTGTTTGTCAAAACCATTCTTTATTCTACATGAGAAGTCTTAAGCCTTTTATAAATCCTGCTCAGATATATTGGGACACTTAAATGTCTAAGTCTAAACATCCTTCTCAAGTTTGCTATCCTGCATAATTTCACAAAAAAAGAAAAAAGGGTCCACAGAGCATTACTTTCTGGTAGCATGGAGCTGAAGTATTAGGCACTGGAATGCAAGATTGCATGTGAGAAACAAAAGTAGTTTCACTAGCAGAATTATTTTCACCTACTGCCCTTGCAATTCAGTCTGGTAAGGCAACCTATAAAAAAAGCATCTTAAAATACAGCAGGTAAATTTGTGACAGTGAAATGCTATCAAGGTTCATGGTTCAGTTTAGGCACGTTGTGTCCATGTTCTTTTAAACTGACAATTAAATAATGGATCACCAGCTTTCAATAGCAACATTGTTATCTGTCTCACTTTGGCACAATTTCATGAAGTGTTTAATAAAGCAGACACACCGCAGACGATGAGAAATAACTGAAAAGTACCTAACAGGCAGACTTGTTAAATATTCAGAAACAAATCTGGCAATAATTACAGAAAACCACTACGAAGAACAGGAATAGTTACTTGATAGAAGCTTGGGGGAAGACAAGAAAAGGATGGGGAAAACTGTTCTTGTGCTAAACTCATTTTTTCAAGTTTTTCCAGTGGTATTATAAAAAAATAACTCATGTGAAAGTGTATTAAAAAACTTCAAAGAAGTGAAGAATAGCTGCTCAAAAGCTGGGAACGCTGCTTTCTACAGCTTGTTCAGATACAGATTCCTTCACTTGCGGTAAACTGGGAGCGTCCAAGGAGGTAATCGTGTCTCCATGTCAGAAATAAATAAATACATGAATGAATAAATATCAGAGACACAAGTCTACCTCACCTCCTTAGAGAGGTCTCTTGTCACAGCCCAGGCTGAGAGAAATCCTACAGGACAGATGCCACCACTGTCTCAGTTACACCGCAAATAACTGAGCTTTATACAACGTCCTTCCAGACTCCAGCATGCAAAAATGCGGGAGTATTTTCAATCCTAGCACCTATTTAAGCTTCCTAGGCCATAAGCATGAAAAAGACTTAAGGTTTATCAGAAAGGAGAACTTTGCTACCACCTCCTCTGCTTCCACACACGAGTTATCTTCTAGGCCTCTGTTCACTGTACTCGGGTCATGAGCCAACCAGCTGCTGACTTAAGCAACGTCAAGCTTCGTCAGAAAAAGGGGCAAAACAGGCAACAACACTTGAATGATGGCCCGCAACACATTCCTCCCACCTCCAGCCGAGATGATGGCTAACAGAAGTAGGCCATCAGTCTCCTTGGAAAGAACTTCTGCAGCCCCATATGCTTCCCAGGTCCTGGAAACAGTTAATCTCCAGCACAATATTAAGAGATTTGTTAAGTTCTGTTAAGATTTGTTAAAAGCACTTTCAAGGCACTTTTAAAATGCAGCATGAGCCAGAAAACGCGATCTGGCTCATTGCAGGAACTGAATGGTCTATCTTTATTTATTTCTTGCTTTTTGAGGGTGATCTAGCCAAGGGAACTTACAGTATATTTGAAAAGCGTTCATGTGCTTGGAAAAAAAAGTCCACAGCCAATATCAGAGTAAAGGCCACTTCAAAAGCCATCCAAAACAGCCATCATGACTTCAACTGAGGGGCCATGACAACTAGCTGCTGTGGAAGACCACCACAGCTTTAATACCCTGCATTGCAGACAGAAGTTTCTCTGAGCCATCAGTTCATTCCATCCTGTACAGACAGTGCTCCCATCCACAGTTGTTCTTATAACACACAATTAAATATCCCCAACAAATTTACCAGAAGCAATCCTTTCAAGTATGGAGTAGTATTCTTACAGTATGTAACCAGCCACTTTGTGCAGGAGAGCTTTCACTTCTTGCTACAGGGAAAGAAAAACAATTTGGTATGAAGATAACAACATGCACGTTGTCTCCGTACCTCCAGCCCAGATCCAGTGCTTGATGAATCCAATGGTCTTTTCTTCCTTGGTCCAATGGCTGCCAAAGCTGTGAGGTTGGCTTCTCTTTGTTGCATTTGTGCTAACTCCAATTGTTGCATCTAATTTAAAAAGAAAACACCTACATTAATTATGATATACAGTATGCTAAAGGTCTCGGTTCTCTTTATGGCAGCTTCAGCCAGCTCTGCAGTCCCTACTGAAACAACGTATTTCACAGCATCTTGTCCTGTCTTTCTGGACACTTTTGACAGATTCCAATACTCATTCATGCCTAGAGCCTTGACACGCTAACAGCCCTATGGACAGCACTGTGTAAGTAACATTTTTTATGGAGCCTCACCAGGAGCCTTGCTGCTGGTTCCTCAGCTCATAAGCTTTGCCATTTCTGATTAAGAGAAAATACTGATCAGAACTGGCTTATGAGACCAGATTAGTGCTAAAAGTTGAAGTTAGCAAATTCAGTGAACTGGGGATATTCTTAACTCAAAATCTCAATTTATGACTGCACAAGCAAGACACTCGATTTCTTCATGCTGTATTTACCTGAACCCAGCACTCAATATTGCCGTTCTGTAACACCTTATTATCCACCTGAACAGGATACAGGCAGTTCACTGATACTCTCTCATATTTGAATCTTCAGGCATATCCTGAAGCAAGTTAGACATAAGTGCCTATATATTTATTTTCACTCACCTCCAAACACCGTTCAACACAAAGAAATCCTTAGAAACAACCTCTATCTAGGTTAGGTAAACTTGGGATGGGAGAGAACTCTGTGGTCAATAGGATTTACAAGAAAAAAAACAAAAAAAAAGGTTTTTCTCTCTGCATTTCAAGGTACATACTACTTGATTCTATTTGATAACTATAGATGCCAGCTGCTCTGGAGGCTCAATCCAGTCGAGTCTGCTAATACTAGCTTGGACTGGCCAGCTTGCTAATGCAACCACACTGCTTTCAGACCCACCAGTTGTCCAACATGGAGCATGGGTGGTGGGGAGTGTGCTTTCCCTCTGTAGAGAAGAAAGCTTTTCTACTTGGTTTGAATTTGTCCTTAAAACACAAACCTCTAGATTTGATATTAATCCTTAAATGATCTGACATGCTCCTTAGCCCATGCTCTTACCCACTCCCAGCACCTACCAAATCTGTTTTTAAAGAAAGCACAGACGTATTATAGTAGCAAAGCATCCAACTCTCCTCCCCTTCCCTTAACCATGTAAATCATTAAAAAAAAATTAATTAGAATTCCTCACTCAGTCAGTACAGATATTTTGCTTACTAAGCCTGCAATATATTATGGTGGGGTTTTTTTTGCTTTTCAGCTCTCAGAGACCCTACTTGGAGAAGAGAAATTCCGCTGGCTAAGAAATGAGCTTGTAGCACCTACACAGCATCACTCCTTAACTTGCTACTACTGAAATAAGAATCCACAATAAAAGAGAAAAAACAACCAAACACCATGTGTTTGGGTGGGGGCTTTTTTTTCTTGTTGTTGAGAGTTTAGGGGGTTTTGAGGCTTGGCTTTTAGGGTTTGGTTTGTTGGGTGGGGTGGTTTTTTTTGTGTAACTCCTGTAATTTTACTTCAGATTGGTAGATTCTTACTTCAGAGAGGCTGGCAGCTTCACAAGTACTGCAGCCAGCTAGGCCATTTAAAGAAAAACGGTATTTCAGTGCAAGATTCCTAAAAGGCCATCCTGCCCTGTAAGACTCAAACTACACACATGCTCAATGTTTTTCAACTTAAATCAGGGAATGCAAGACTTGGACGTAAATATGTTGAGAGTAGTTGGGGTTTTGTTTGGTAGTTTTGATTGTTGGTTGTTTTCTTTTGGAAGATGAGACAAATGATTCAGTTATGAAAACAACACTATTTGCAAGTTATCTTTGATCACACTGTGTAGGCTTTTCCTTACAGAAATGTAGTAGTACTTCTTCAGAGCTAGATACTTACCACACAGTCTATTTTTGCTTCTGTGTGCAGTGTAAACATTTAAAACCATATTTATCAGAATTACTTCAGTTCTGAATGTTTTTTTTTCTGTTTATCTTCTTTAAAGAATGTAGCATTGGTTTTAAGAATATGTACGGTTTTATGTCCTTTAAACTTGAAAACTACAGTCCTGTGATTGTATGACATTACCCCAGCTGGCCTACTTACATAAGACGTTTGAGATGAACTCCCCTTTAATCTCAGTCTTAAATATGTATATTTGTATTTGGGAACACATTGCAACCTATCAGGAGTGGAGGGGAATAAGACTAACACTGAAATAGTAACTTGAAACTTCACAAATTGTGAAACACAGAGACTTAGAAACCGTTTTTATGTGACATCTTCATCACTCCCTGGAGTATCGGGAGCAATAAAACGCTGAGATCCTTTGGCAGAGGCACATGCTGACTTCCAGCCCCAGCTGCCCAGGCCTCCAACATCTGGAGCCACCCTCACTCACAGGGAGCATCCCTGTAGAAGTGCACCTTCCTGCTAGCGATGTAGCTCAGTTGTCATGGTGGCTTCATGTCCACCACAGTCTTCTTGCCATGAGAAGACTCATTACAATATGCCATGCACGTGCCATCGCTCTGGGGGCAGATTAAATTCCAAAAGGCTCCAGTGGCAAAGAAACAAGAAGGGGAACGATGGTTTGCTTTACTTTTAAGCATCATTATACTTAAAATGAAAAAGACTTTCAAAATCATTAAACTTAAAACAAAAACGAAAACAAAGGGCTTTATTAGCCTAACCTTGTGCTTCTATCACTAAGAGTCATCAGAAAACATATCCCCCCCCTCCCTCAACCTTACAAAACACATACAAACCAGCTTCATTGCAGTGAGACATCTCAAAAACGAGTAAACGAGTGGCTGCTGAACATGTTTGAAGCTGCATTGAACTGGTTTGAAGCAGCATTGAAATAAGACACACACACCCCCTCCTCTTTACAGCTGATGTTTTTGGGCAGCAAAGACCAAGGACAAGGGGCAGAGCTATGAATTAAATACCAAGGGGGCTTTGGGTTGGCATCAGCATTGGGTGGAGAACATTAGGTGGGTTGAGAAAGCATGTTGTCAACACAGACACCAAGTGCTGGCAAAAACCCCACCGATCCAAAGGTCAGGAGACACTTGGTAGATGGTATGAATAAGATGCGCATTTTAGAAACAGAACTGATGCATCTTTGGTCACACAGTTGCTAAGACTGCCAGAAACACATGCTACCACCATCATCTACTTTCCACTTTGTAACCAGCCAAATGATTTTTCAAATCGGGCAGAACCTCACCAGAGTTTTGGAGCAAAATAAAAAAAGAAATCATAGCCTTGCTGCATTCTAGACATCTCGGGGATTTTTCTGAAAACCATAATTAAGACAAATGAATTTAAACACTCAATCTCCATACTGGACTCAACAGATCCCCATTAAGCGATACGGGCAGGCATCCAAATTACCCTGCCGAAGCCAGCAAAATCATCTTTTCATCAAGTTTTGTTCCATTAAAAAAGTGTGAGATTAAATGTCCAAACATTGTGTGAGCAGTTAAAAGCACAGGATAAGGAGAAGACAGGCAGATAACATCAAGGGATACCCGAGGATACTGGCTGAATAACTATTGCCAGGTCTTCCTAAACAAGATTAGGAAAGAGGAAGAGGCAACTATATCGAGTCAAATCTTTCTTTAACAGACAGTTTTGTAGCACACAAGTTAGGGCAGAAAGATCACTGCAGTAAGTGAAAGACAGTAAAAATAATATTTTAATAAAGTGTATATACAACATAGAGAAGCTGCATCCAGTATTGTTTCCCTTTTAGGGGCCAGTTTTACTAATAGCGGTGCCTCTGACTAAAATAGGATACAAATAGGAACCGTCATACCCAGGTTTGTATCTTGAAAACAGATGATTTTTCTCCCTTGAAGAGAGAAGCGTGTAATGGCAGTTCAAGAGGAGCAGGGGGAACTTGTACCATGCATTGAACCCATGAACCAGCAGGCTTCCCCTCAACCCGACCTACTTCATCTGCTGAAAGATGCTCCTGTTCCACCACGACACAGGAGTCCAACACACGTTCCCTGCAAAATTCATTCCTCAAGAAGGGCATTGAGAGGGGACAGTCTCCAGGCAAGAAGCAAATGAATGTTCATGCTCCTTCTCCCCACTTTCTGATTTTTACATATGCTAAGAATCGCAGTACAAAGAGTTCTAAAAACCTGTGTATAAGGATCAAATTGCTATGAAAACGTCTCAGAACTTGTAAAATAGTCTTTGTTGCTGCTGGCTTTTTTAATAATAAAAATAGGGTTTAAAGTCTGGTCTTGCAGCAAGCAGGAATCTCTAGGGTGACACAATAACCATTTCAGTTAATCTGACCTGCAGCACAAATCAAGAAGTAAGGTATGTTTTAAAGTCCTCCCTTATAGTGAAATGGCATTTGCAGCATGGCTGTAATCACACAAAATGAAAGGTTTTAAAATTGACCTCTCTGTTCTTCACTCAATCCTCTACTGAGAAAAATATTTCTTTTCCTGCCCACAGAAATTCTCTCTCACTTATGTCTCATACTCCACATTTCAGACAATATGCAAAATCTATTTTTACTACTACACCAGTGACATTTTAATATTAAAAATTAAATTTCAAGTTGCATAAGATGACAAGAAGTACTTCAGCTATGATATGCTGAAGTTTTTTTAAAGCAATACTGCAAGTTGGTTTCAAACCCTTTCAGTTATGAAGTACATGATATCTAGTTGTTAGCATTATCAGTAATTCAAGTTACGGAGATCTTGCAAGATTTGCCCTAAATACTATAAGAAAGAATCCTTCAAACACAACTGAAGAAAGTAAGAAGTATACTCCAGAACAAATAAAATCAACTAATTCACACCAGCTAATCCATCATGTGTACAGCTGCAGGTGGCTGTATTACCAAAGGGGGTGGGCAGGGAACAGAAGAGCTATCAAGCTGAACACACATTCACCTTCAAAAAGGAGTAATGAAACCCCCCATGTCTGGTCACAAAGTACCCAAAGCAGAATAGAGTATTTGATATAAGCTTTCAATGACCTGTTGGAATGGGTCCAGCAAAGGGT